TTTTAATTCAAAAAACACTTTTTAAAAAATATTCTATTATTTTCGTTGACTAAAAATTATTTTTTGTTGATTTTTTTCCTAAAAGCAAAATAATTATTGAAAAAAAAACAAGTTACTAGAAATTATTTTTTTCCAAACAAACATAGCCTAGGTATTAACTTAATTTTATGTACAATAAACGTAAAATAATTTGAATAATCAGTAATAATACTAATTCAAAGCAATAAAGAAAACGGTAAAAAAAAAAGTTATAAGCATGCATAAAAATAAAAGCATAAAGTGGAAAACAATTGAAATTAAAGAATAATGATTACATAATAAAAAGAGTAAAACCACCACTGGTATTGGAACCATTTAGTTGTGTACCTTTAGAGTGAGTAATCGTCGTTCAAGCCAAGTTCTAGCCATCGATCAGACAGTAGCTGAGAATACTCCTTAATTTTAGTTCAAGAAATATTAACTAACCAGGATAGGACCATGCAACACGTCGTCTCGTATCAGATTAACCTCGGACCAATCTCATGCATAGGCATGTATGGTTTCAAACTCTGACTGGTGTTTTCAACTAGTTCAAGACGACAAGCAACCGAGTTAATTAGTCTTAATAATCATTGGAGGGCAAGGGAGGCATGCATGAATGTGACAACATTCACCAGATGTATATCCACCACAAAAGAGGCCAATGAGCATCAAAATTCTGTGGTTATGATCTGCACGTTGGTGTCAGTGGCCGAAAGAAAACAAGCATACCTCTGATGAAGATCTTAGTATCAAATTATTTTCTCGCTTGAAAACCTAGATTGATAGATAAAATTTCATAATATAATTTATATTATTCTTTAACATATCTTCTCAAACTTAATTAATTAAAAAAATTTAAATATAGTAAGATTTAAATTTTTGACTATTAGATTAATAAAAATTTTAGTATCATATTAAGAAACTATCTCATTTAAAAATAAAAATTAGTCATATACAAATCACATAAATAATGACAATGTTTTGACTTAAAAATCTTGACAAAGAATAGATTAAAAACTTAATATATATTTAAGAGTTAAATTGATTCAATTAAAAATATAAGAACATGTTAAAGAATTATCTTATTATATAAAAATAATTGAGTTATTAACGGTTTTTTTTCTTGTGTCAATATTGGTAGCACTTCAAAAATAAATTGAATTTTGTCAAGGCACATATTACTTAATTTTGATAACTTTTAGCGACTTAATTGAACACCTCCTATACTTGAAGACAGTCTTATTAAAAGCGATTTCTCTTTTTTAATTCAAAAAACACTTTTTAAAAAATATTATATTATTTTTGTTGATTAAAAATTATTTTTTATTGATTTTCTTCCTAAACGTAAAATAATTATTGAAAAAAAAAGTTATTAGAAATTATTTTTTTTCAAATAAACATAGCCTAGGTATTAACTTAATTTTACGTACAATAAACGTAAAATAATTTGAATAATCAGTAACAACCATTTAGTTGTGTACCTTTAGAGTGAGTAATCGTCTTTCAAGCCAAGTTCTAGCCATCGATCAGACAGTAGCTGAGAATACTCCTTAATTTTAGGCTGATTGCGCAGGCCTTAACTAGTTTCAAGTTCGTTCAACAAACCGCCACCGACAGAAGACTAATTCCTAGAGAAACTTCTACTGTGCAAAAGACGAAACACGTGTGTGAGATATCCATTTCTTACAAAAACACACGCGTGTTTTGTTATTAAAAACTTTTCCTATTTTTATTTCTTTACAGCTTTCTTCTTTTTTTTTCAATTTTTTATTTACGCACACTATAGTAAAAACCAAATAAAAGATTTGATGGATAATTTTTACGTTAATTTTTACTTACTTTCATTATCCCAAACTGATTAACAAATATTTTTTAGTCTTATAAAACAAAAGGTAATCTAATAGTATTCAATGAAGGATAATTAAAATTATGGATGTATTGACGAGACATACCTCATGGTAATAAGCACGTTTTTTTTTCATAGATTTGATTTTTTCATTAATTTGGTTTTTTTATAAAAAAATTTGATTATATGTGTTCAATAGTTTCTAATTTTTACATAAGTTCTTTAAAAAAAAGGTCAGCGTATAGAGAACAAAACTGATTTATAGCTTATGATTTTTCAGGTATGCGTCGAGTATGAATACGCACGATTCAAACTAAACTGCCCTTGAAAGTGTTTGAGAAATCAAGTCCTAAATCCTTCTAATATGACAAAATTATTAGGAAGATTTATTTAATTTACCATCTCATTTATAAACTAGGATAATAGATATTTGAGACACAAACAAAATATAATATGGTTTGTACATGATGGTGTATAATTAGTTTCACATGAATTTATCTATTTATCCTATTTTTGTGGATGAAGTGATGGAATAAATTTATAAAATAATTTCTCTGTTATGGGAGGCAATATGTTCAATATAGCTTATCTGCCTGCCAGGCTAATCAAATGCCCTCGACTCTAGCAGGTCACTCGGGGTCAACGTAAATCTTTCAGACAGGAAACACAGATATACTTGAACAAAAAGTATTAATCAAGACATGATCATTTTACTTTTTTTTTTTTTTTTTTTTTTGGGTGCATGCGAAACACTGAAGTTCCTCTTCACAGAAATCCAACAATAATTGAGGCTGAACCTGTCTGTAACAAAATGAAGGTAACATGACCAACCAATGCTCAACCTAGGCTGCCCAAACTGTGGCCCAGATCAGCTTGGCTCGAGAGAGAAGGATTTTCATTAATTCAAATTATAATTGCTAAGACATTAAAGGAAAAAAAAAAAAAAGCCACAGCCACAGAGGCAAGGGAAAAGTTCAGCCTTATTGAAATGTTTGTACGTAGTGTTAGCAAAGACAATTGCGAAACTCTAAGCTTGGAACAAAGGTTTGAGATTAATGGTCTGTTATGAATGTACATAGTCTCTAGATCTGCAAACATTTTTCCAATAAATTAAAGATGGTATCTAGCTAATTAGAGTACTGTATATGGTAATGTGGTGCAGTGATTTTTTAAAAATACATTTGTATGGAAAAACTATTAAATTGATGTTTTATTGTGTACTTTTGACTTTTCATTACAAACTTATTTTAAAAAATACTTTCAATTGCAGTTCAAACACTTCTGATCCTCTAGTTTCATATTTTTCTTAGTGTTCGAAATTTTTAGATAGAGAAATGTGAAAAAAAAAAATGTGATCTATCTTTCTTTTTTATGAACAGATGTGATCCCATTCGAACAGTTAAAAAAAGGGAAATAGTTAGCAGAAGCATTTTCTATTAATTCTATGTGCTCGGGTATGAAATCAACAAAAATGGATTAAGTAGAGCAGCCAGAATTATATAACCATAGAGCGCACACACCTACTTCAAACCAACTTATGATGATTAAAAACAAAAAATAGCTGGGGGTTTAAACAGTGATTTTTATTTACTATTAATCTCTTCACAAATCATTGTGAATTACTGTAGTTAAGGGTAGCATTTTTGTGATTTTCAAAATATTTTTAGACATTTATATTTGAATTTTACATTATGTTCATTTTGATCTCTAAATTTTTAAAATTAAAATTTGATCTCGTAGGCTGTTTTATCTCTTGGCACGCTTTTGCAGGCTCGGGGAAGGCACGCAGGCCTGCCTCCTTTTCTTTCTTTTTATTCCTTTGTTTTTCCCCACTATTTTATGTTTTTTTTTTAATTTAATTGGATGTGAAAATGATAAAAAATCGATCTTATTTTTTTTCTTTAGTTTTTTCCACCAATTTATGTTTTTTTATTATTAAATTAAGTATGAAAATTATAAAAAATCAATCGTTAAATTTTTTTGATTTTTTCACTAATTTATGTTTTTTTTAATTATCAATGAACTGAGGTGAAAATTATCAAAACCAATTAGTATTTTTTTTTTTAACACAAGCTAAAGATTGTGAAGTTTATGTGATTAACAATTCTCATGAAATTAATTTTTATTCTTTTTTTTATGTATGTAATTTTATTCTGTTAATAAATATGATTTATTTTCTCTTATGCATAGATTTTCAAGTAAGTTTTTTTTTTCAGTAGTTGTTTTTTAATTTTATTTTTTATACAATCAAATTTTAAAAATAAAATTCACGTGTTTTATTTTTTATATATATAATCAGATTTTGTCAAAATTAATCTTATAATTTTTTTTATTACACTCTATTAACTTCAATATATTTTTTATAATTTAAATTTATTTTAGAAAAAAATTTGATTTATAACATACACTCTAACCTAATAAATACGGTTATATATATTGATTTTATTAAAAATTAATTATCATTTGTACTCGTAACTCCAACCATTTGCTATTATTTTTTTATATTTTAAAATTAATTTTTTCAAATAAAATAATTAAAATAACATTTTAAAAGGACTACACAATAATTTAAATATAATTTTTTATATTAATATTATTCATTATTTTGTAAATAAATATATATAAATCAAATATTTATATTTTTAAAAATATATTATTAAAATGATTCACTTGTTAATTTTTATATGAATTGTTAATTTATTTCTTCAATACAATGTTATGAAATAAATATTAAAATGTTTTTAAAATTTTATATCTAAATTATTACATATTTTTAAGAATAAATACATAGGAAAACAAATCATGTTTTTTAACTATAAAATTTATTTAAAAATAAATACAAAATTTTGATTAAAAATTATAAAATCAGATAAAATTCTATCTTTAATTTAATATATTTTTATTGACCGAAAACATGAACATAATACATGTTTTCAAACTCAAATAAATATTTTTAGTTCAGCTAGCAAGGTCGGGGCAGAAAGCCAACTAATATTCTATAAAACATCGAATGCCTTCAGAAGTATAAGCTGTATGATATATATGTATATATTTTAAAAAAAAAAAAAAAACCTGCCCAAGAAGAAACTTCTGCGATCACTTGAAAGACTAAGCAACATCCCCGTTGCATTTGCTACTTCAAAATCCTTCTTCTTCTGCGCTCTTTCAGGTCACTGGGGATAATAAATACAGAATCTACACAAAGCCCACCTTTGGAATGTGTGCAATCAATCTGTTTCATGGAAAATTTGACCTCAGTTGCAGGTTCCGAGTCCGTCACAATAAAGTCACCTACCTTGTAATCTATCCAGCATCCACGCTTCTGGTTGCCATTTGCTTCATCTTGTTCAGTCTCGTCTAAACAGAACTCACAAGATGCTTGCTGACCATCAGAAGCAGACAACTCAAACCGTACTGGCTTTATATCCCAACCATGGGTGTGGTCAAAATTGCACACACGCCGTCCCAGTCTTTTGGAAAATCTTCCAAGGTGAAGCCTGAAGTATATGGTATAAATGTCAGCAGGGAAAGGGAACTTTACAACTCCATCCACTTCAAACCACCATATTTGTTGCAAATAGGCCACCACATGGAATCTACAATGCAATACAAAAGATACATACACTGTCAAAATTTGCAATAGCACTTCGTGAAAATAAAGCAGAACAATGTAGGAGCTACCAGCATTTGGATAATTCTTATTCCGCAGACGCACATATTGACTCAAGGACTCAGTAACACAATGACATGCTCCTGACTCATAACAAGCCAAATGAGTACGCAGTAAGGTGTCAAAATGATATTAAGAAGACCTCTACATATGTTTCAGACATCTAAAAGTTAAAACCATTTAATTGATATAAGGTTAACCGGAGCATATTATTTCATACGCTTGGATACAAGAAAATCCAAGTTTTTCGTGCTACCAGGCATGGTTCATTTATCTAGCAGAAAAAATCGAAAAGATAATCTACAGATAGGCGGGCAGAAATTATCACAAGGGATTGCCCATTCTCTGCTTGCGTCAACAAGTGCACTTTCAACTTTTTTTCTTCAATTGGAAATGACTACACACAGTATTTCGACAGCGGGTCACGTTTATGACCAACATATGGACTGAAAAGTAAAGTGAAGAATATACACTTGCAAGGGATTGGTTGCTGTTGCACAGACAGAATAAGTAGAACATACATTTCTGCCACCTAGACTTCTATTATCAAGAAAAGCATCCATAAATAGAAAAAAATATATATATGTCCCATTCAATATGGGAAATGTAAACTACTACAGCAACAAGCATGAAAAACAATAATAGAAAAGCTTTATCACACATTACATCAGAATCCAGTATCCGACTAATAGACGAATAGCTAGGAGGAGAAAGGTTGATGGAAAACCAATTAAAGTTGGTCATTAGGAAGCAGAAAGTGCAGTAATCGATCTTAATTTTTGATGCTTCTAGCGCCAGATTTCCTTGGCGAGCCAAGTAAGCACAGATGCGTCTCTCCACATCTTCCAGGGAAGAAGGGGCAGATGCATCCCACAAACAAACGAAAATTGAGAATAGTAATTAACCCCAACTAAAGAGAATAATTGACCCCATTATCATCCCTGACAACATGCAAAGTTTGCCAAATTTTCCCTTTGATAAAAGATCAGGTTATCCCGGAAAAGGAACGTGTCTTTGAACTTAATGGAAAGCGATGATAGCTGGCATAATCACCATTAAATTCCAGCAAAGCAAAGTCAACAATACCCAAAACAGATCCAGATGAATTTTGAAGTTAATTTGCATTAAGAAGTTAAACCATCAGCTTTAACAAGTTGTAAATTAGCAACAATTAATGCCATTTTATTGAACTCGAAAACAATCAATCATTTCATTGACATCAAATACTAGTAATTAACAACCAAGTTAAGCAGGAATATTGCAAACAGACAGACATTAAACTGCTGCTGCTGCTGCTACTGGTTAAAAATTCGGGAAAAAAAAGAAGACAAGTTAGAAAGAAACCTAGATTCTTCAGTAGGAACCCAAGTCCAATATCTACGGTCTTCAATTCCCGTAATTGCCATCCCTTTCGCCGATATTGACATACAAACCCTTCCTGTCACTCTATCCAGCCACACCTCCTGTTCAATTTTTTTGTCGTTGCTTTTAATTTATTTCTAAAAAAGAAACCCTCAATTGGAAATTCCAAAAAAAAAAAAAAAAAAAAAAGGAACACTGCAGAGAGACGGGCAGACCTTATTGCCGTCATCGAAAAGGAGAGGGCGAGAGAGGTGGGCAAATATGTCTTTTTTGGAGAAACTGAGGAATCTATCAAGAGGGAGGTAATGGAGCAGATCCTGATAATTAGAAGGCAACTTGTTTTCCCAAACGGAATCGGAAGAAGCCGCTCCTCGAAAAGCACGGTTTAATCGAGCCAGATTGCAAATCTCAGGAGGCGTCAAGTACATGAATACACAAGCCACACAGTTCTCGGGTATGTCCCCTAACCCAGGACCACCTATGGCCGCACCGTTCGGTCCCTCCGTCAGGTTCGACAACGACGCGCCCATACTCCAGAGAAAGAGAAAGATGTCAGTTATCGAGAGTGTTTCATCGTAAGTTTTGCCGGAGAATGGAGGGTAGAGAGGAGGGAAAGAGGGTTAGTTAGCCGAGGCCTTAGCTAGCAATAGGAAAGGAGGAGAGAATGGAATTATGGGGTCCAGTAATGGAATTTTCTTTTCTTTCTTTTTTGAAACACAAAATTTTATCTTTTTGGTTGTAATTTTTTTATTTAGCATGTGGAACACAAGAGGGTCGCAGCGTCCCTAGCTCAAAAGTTTATTGGCTTTTACAATAATGGAAAAGGCTATTTATTATTTACTTGCAGTTTGTTTAATATCATTTCTTTTTTTTTCTCTCTTTTTCTTTTATGAAAAATGTAGAAGTGTTATAAAATAATGAATATCCATCTACTTTTTATATCTCCACTACTTATGATCTTTAATGTGATTCGATTCATCATTCAATTTGAGAAATTGAAAGGGTGATGGAATTGATGTACTTTTAATTATTCATAGTCCATTCCAATTCTTATCTCAATTTTGAGGCCTATAAATAGGCTTGATTGTTCATTTGTTGATGTACGAGTTTTTAGAGAGATTAAGAGAACAACTTGAAGTTTTCTCACTTGTATTCAATTTATAGTGAATTCTTCTTCTTGTCATCCTTACTTTAAATTCTCATATATCTTTTATTTTTCACAACACGTTATCGGCACGATTGTTCTACCAAACGACGCAAATCATCTAGCATATTAAGAGGTATGTACCTAATCTATCTTTTATTTTAAATCTAATAATACATATAATATATATTTGAAAACTTGAATAATCTAATATATATTCTAATAATCTAATGCATGTTGTTTTGAGAAGTTTGAATATTATTATTATGTTTGTTTTTATTTTCTAACATCATTATTATATCTTGTATTGTAGAATTTTTATCATGTCAAACCTCACAAAGCTTGATTTTGTAGCCACTTGACATTTCGGGCAAGAATTATTTATCATGGATGCTTGATACTGAGATACATTTAAATGCTAATGGCCTTGGACAAACAATCATGAATGATAATCGAAGTCCTGCAAATCCTTGCAAAACCGTGCTAAGGCAATGATCTTCCTTCGTCATCATCTCCATGAAGATTTGAAAACTAAATATTTAATAGTGAAAGATCCACTTGACTCGTGAAAAAATTTAGAGGAAAGATACAACCATAAAAAGACGATAATTCTTCCAAAAGCTCGTTATGATTGGATGCACTTAAGGTTATAAGATTTTAAAGCTGTAAGTGAGTATAATTCGTAGTATTTAGAATCGGTTCCCAACTAAAATTATGTGAAGAAAATATTACCGATTCCGATATGTTAGAGAAAACATTTTCTACTTTTCATGCTTCGAATATGCTCCTGACAGTAGTAATATCGAGAAAAAGGTTTTAAGAAATACTCGAATTGATTTCATGCCTACTTATGGCTGAACAAAATAACGAGCTATCGATGAAAAATCATGAATCCCGCCCAATTGGATCTACTCCATTCCACGAAGTGAATGTGACATCTTATAATAATTTTGGGCGTGGACGTGGTCGTGGCCGTAACCATGGACATGGACGTGGTCGTGGCAATAGTCGTGGTCGAATAATTATCGTTATAATCGTGGTGGTAATAATAATACATCTCATCCCCGAAGTGGATAAATTATGAAAAGAAACAAGAAAAGAATAAAGGTGGATCAAGTTAGCACTCCGAAAATGAATATTATAGATGTGGTATGAAGGGACATTGGTCGCGTACCGTCGTACGCCAAAACACCTAGTTGAGCTTTATCAAGCCTCATTGAAAAAGAAAGAAAGTGATATAGAGGTAAATTTTATATATCAAAATAATGTTTGTGACAATGTTCCTATCGAAGATTTCAATAACTTAACACATTTAGATGTTCGTTGATTTCTTTGAAGATTCCGAAAGAAAAAATTATTAGGTTAATGATAATTGTTTGAAATTTTGTTACCTTTTGATAAATAAAGAAGTTTTATGTTTTATTTTTATTTCATCATATTAGTTTTTATTTTTATTTATTTGTTTATTTTTGTGTTTATGAAGAATATATTGATATTACTAAGTTTGCAATTGGTTTAAACGTCATGGAGGAGAATCTATGCCTCGTGGATAGTGCGACCACGCATACTTATACTTAAAAATAAAAGGTATTTCTCCAATTTAACGATGGGCAAGGCTAATGTTAACACTATATCCGGTAGTGTTAATTTAATTAATGGCTTCGGAAGAGCAAATATATTACTACCTGGAGGGACAAATTTGATTATAGATGATGCATTATTCTCTCCAAAGTTCCATAGAAATTTATTGAGTTTTAAAGATATTCGTTTAAATGGATATTATATTGAGACAACAAATGTTGAGAATATTGAGTACTTATATATTATAAAAATTAAATCGAGGTAGAAAATATGTATTGGAGAAATTATCTCGCTTTCTCTTCGGCATTTATTATACAAATATTCAAATGATTGAAACAAATGTCATAGTAAACCGAAGTTTACTAATCCTTTTATTTTGTGGCATGATCGATTGGGCCATCCCGAATTCATTATGATACGAAAAATTATTGAAAATTCGTATGGACATCCATTGAAGAACCGGAAGATTCTTCAATCTAATGAGTTTTCATGTTCGTGTGTTCTCAAGGCAAACTTATTATTAAGCCTTCACCAAATAAAATTGAGATTCACTCTCCGGCATTTTTAGAACGTATACAAAGTGATATATATGGACCCATTCATCCATCATGTGGACCATTAAGATATTTTATGGTTTTAATAGATGCATCTATAAGATGGTCACATGTATGTTTATTATCAACTCGAAACCTAGCGTTTTCGAGGTTACTTGCTCAAATAATTCGATTACGAGCACAATTTTCAGATTATACCATTAAAACAATTCGCCTTGATAATGCTTGGTGAATTTACATCTCAAGCTTTTAATGATTATTGCATGTCTATTGGAATAAGAGTTGAACAACTTGTTGCTCATATTCATACTCAAAATGGTCTAATGAAATCATTTATCAAAAGCCTTCAATTGATAGCTAGACCATTACTTATGAAAATAAAACTTTCGTTTATGTTTGGGGACATGCAATTTTACATGCAACGAACACTTATTCGCATCGAGCCTACAAGTTATCGAAATTATCTCCCTTTCAATTGGTTTCGGTCATGAGCCTAATATTTCTCATTTGAGGATTTTTAGATGTGCAATATATGTCCCAATTACTCCTCCACAACGAACTAAAATGGGTCCTCGGAGGAGATTGGGAATATATGTTGGATATGAATCTCATTCTATAATTAAATATCTTGAACCATTAACGGGGGATGTTTTTACGGCTCGTTTTGTCGATTGTCATTTTGATGAAACAATTTTTCCAACATTAGGGGAGAAAATAAACGGAATAAGCGATTAGAAATGTTGGAAAAAGAAATTACATGGAATACTTCATCTTTATATCATCTTGATCCTCGTATAAAACAATGTGAACTTAAAGTTCAGAGGATAATTCATTTACAAAGTCTTGCAAACTAACCGCCGGATGCATTCTCTAATCCAAAGAGAGTAACTAAATCACATGTTCCTGCCGAGAATGCTCCTATTAAAATTGATGTCCCAGTAGGACAACCTATTAATGTTATAACAAATGAATCTAAAGCACGCTCGAAGCGTGGAAGATCGATCGGTTTTAAAGATAAAAATCCTCGAAAGAAAAAAAGGAAAAATAATCAAGATGAAAATATAAATGAGACAAATAAAACAATCCAAGATGTTTTTGATAACAAGCTTCCAGAAAAAGCCCAAATGCTTGAGAAAAATCAAGAAATTTCGATAAATTATGTTAACACATGGAGAGTATGGGACCGAAAAGAAACATTCATTGATAACATCTTTGCATATAATGTGGTAATTGATATCTTGAATAAGGATCTCGAGCCTAAATCCATTGAAGAATGTCGACATAGAGATGATTGGCCTAAGTGGAAAGATGCAATTCATGAAGAATTAAAGTCTCTCACAAAACGAGCGAGTTTTGGACCGATAGTTAAAACACACGAAGATGTTAAGCCAATAGGATACAAATGGGTATTTGTGCGAAAACGAAATGAAAAAGATGAAATTGTGAGATATAAAGCAAGACTTATAGCGCGAGGGTTTTCACAAAGACTCGGCATTGACTATGAAGAGACATATTCTCCTGTAATGGATGCAATTATATTTCGCTATCTTATTAGCTTGACGGCATGTGAAAAACTTCATATGCATTTAATGGATGTAATAACGACCTATTTATATGGGTCACTTGATAATGATATTTATATGAAAGTCCCGAAGGACTTAAAATGCACGAAGCATGTAAAATACATTCTTGAGAGATGTATTCGATTAAACTACAAAGATCTCTATATGGATTGAAACAATCTGGACGCATGTGGTATAATCGTCTTAGTGATTATTTATTAAAAGAAGGTTATAAAAATAACCTAATTTGTCCATGTGTCTTTATAAAGAAATTCGAAAAGGGGTTTGTGATAATTGCTTGTATATGTTGACGATTTAAATATAATTGGAACTTCTAAAGAGATTTTAAGTGCCATAAATTATTTAAAAGGAGAATTTGATATGAAAGATCTTGGAAAAACAAAATTTTGTCTCGGCTGCAGGTTCGAACACTTAAAAGATGGAATTTTTATTCATCGGTTAATATATATAGAAAAAGTACTACAAAGATTCTACATGGATAAGGCTCATCCATTGACTAGCCCAATGGTAGTTCGTTCATTTGATGTTCAAAAGGACCCTTTTCGACCTCGAGAAGATAACGAAGAACTTCTTGGTCCCGAAGTACCATACCTTAGTGCAATTGGTGCATTAATGTATCTTGCTAATAATACCCGAACTCGATATAGCATTTTACTGTAAATTTATTAGCAAGATATAGTTATGCTCCAACACGGAGACATTGGAATGGAATTAAACATATATTACATTATCTCCGAGGAACAAGTTATGTGGGTTTATATTACTCTAACAAATCAAAGAATGGATTAATTGGTTATGAAGATGCGGAGTTATTTATCCGATCCACACAAAGCTCGATCTCAAACTGGTTATGTATTTACATATGGAGATACAACTATATCATGACGTTCTATGAAGCAAACTATAGCTGTCACATCTTCAAACCATGCGAAATACTAGCAATTCATGAGGCAAGTCGAGAATGTATTTGGTTAAGATCAATGACCCATCATATTCAAGAGACATACGGTTTATCCACTAGCAAGGAAGTTCCAACGAGTCTTGTATGAAGACAATACTACCTGCATAGCTCAATTAAAGGAAGGATACATCAAAGGTGACGAACGAAACATATATCACCAAAATTATTTTTCACACATGATCTTCAACGAAATGGTGATATTAATGTTCAACAAATTCGTTCGAGTGACAATCTAACGGATTTGTTCACTAAGACATTACCTACCACAACTTTTGAGAAGATGATTCACAAGATTGGAATGCATCGTCTTAGAGATCTTAAATAATGTCTTCAATAGGGGAGACCAAAATAGGTATTAATGTGTGCAAGGAATAATGTACTCTTTTTCCTTCACTAGGATTTTTTTTCCCCACTCGGGTTTTTTCCTAGTAAGGTTTTAACGAGGCATATTCCTTGTACAATGGATATTCGAGGGGAGTGTTATAAAATAATGAATGTCCATCTACTTTTCATATCCCCACTACTCATGATCCTTAATGTGATTCAATTCACCATTCAATTTGAGAAATTGAAAGAGTGATGCAATTGATGTACTTTTAATTATTCATGGTCCCTTCCAATTCTCATCTTAATTTTGAGGCCTATAAATAGGCTTGATTGTTCATTTATTGATGTATAAGTTTTTAGAGAGATTAAGAGAACAACTTGAAGTTTTCTCACTTGTATTCACTTTATAGTGAATTCTTCTTCTTGTCATCCTTCCTTTAAATTCTCATATATCTTTTATTTTTCACAACAAGAAGTTGTTTATTTTACTCATATTTAAGGATGCCAATAAGTAACTATCTAGTCCATTAATTTAATTTTTTATTTTATCTATAAAAAATATTTTATCTATTGTTCATTAAAAAATCATCATATAAATTTTTATTCGACCCACATTAGTTTATCTCGTTCATTTAGTAGCCATTTCATACATGATAAAACTAATTTATCAAACTATTTCATTTTAGTCCTTAATTTTTAAGAAAAAATTAATCCTTAAAATTTAATTTTTTATATTTTAATCCTTTATTTATAAGTTTTTTAGTTCTTGATTTTTTTAGAAAAAAAATTTTGGTTCTTAATTTTTAAAATTTATGCAATTAGATCCATATATGTTAAAAAGATATAAAAATAAATTAGTGGGTATTTTAATAAGATAATGAATGGGTACTCATACCTTGAAACTATATTAACGATAATGTATTTTTTTATCTTTACCCACTTCAAAGCCTATTTAACATTTTTAATGAGTATTTATTAAGTCGGATAAAGTGTATATGCACTTTATACCCAACTCATTGCCATCCTTATTCTTGTTTGAAAAACTATTTGTAGATGTTAGTTGTTTTTTTGTTATTTTACATTCTTCTAAATTTTGTTTTAATTTTCTTTTTTTAAAAAAACCACAAAATGGCAATAATACTAAACAAAACCGTAGCACAATTTTCTAATGGTTCTATAAACATTTAAAACAAATAAAAATTTAATTATGAAGGGCACAAATTAAATAAGTATTTATAACATTAAGCGTTTTCACGTGGGTAGGTCGAATATTTCTAAAGTATAGTGGCCAAAATATTCAATCCTATTTACCTTATTTATTTTCACTAGTTATGTTATTTATTCTTTTTCATAAATATATCTAATTATAATTGGATTTAATTTAGTCCGTAAGTGGTTTGGATCCATATTTAATTATGATTCTATCTTTATTATGGATCCATAATTAAATAAGAGTGTGTGTGTGTGTGTGTGGCACTTTTGGACTAGATTAATTAGTTTTTATTAAGTTTTGATTGAGCTTTTAAGTTATTACATCCAATTAGGTTAGTCGTCTATTTTAGTCCTTGTTTATTTCAAATTGGGCTTTAAGTTAATAAATCTAACTAAACTAGGGTTAGCCAAATTTTAAGAGCTAGTATTTAAGCTACTCTTTGTAACTTTGAAAAGAGATTTTGACAATTTTGAATAAAAAAAACTTTTGTGTGAGAGGATTCTCCTTAAACCTATGTTCCTTGTATAATATATGACTTACCTTTTGTATCCTTAAAGTGATTAATTAAGGTGGTGTACCTTTATTCAAGAGTTTTGGCATATACATCTCCATGTAAGTGCGGACATCTACACAATTAGGTCTAAACTTATCTTTTGGCTTTGTTGTTATTTGAACTAGTTCTACATTGGATTTATCTCTTACAAGTCTTTGGATTATTAAAAATTTTAGAGTTAGGTTTTGTTTTGGCTCTTTGGTTGATTTGCGTATAAATTTTAGCAATAGTAAAATTAGAGCTACGGTTATTGGATTAACCTAAATTTTAGACCAGAACTCCATCTATATATTAACTATGTGTGGCCAAAATTTCATAATTATTCGACAAGTTTATTTTGCGTTGTGACCTGTTGTAATATTTCGGGATTTGATGGATTTTTGAAATTGTGTGACTTGGTTGTGTTTGTTTATGTTAATATTGATTGAGTTTTCTTTTGGCTTGTGTGAATATTGTGGGTTGAATTTTAGGTGTTTGAGAGTTGTTTTTGTGAATTAGTGCTTATAAATTTCAACTTGGAGGTTGTTTACGATTGTGTTTTGCAAGCTAGTTTCATCTTTATTTAACCAACATCAATTTGATATCAAAACTGAAGTTAGTATTTATATGTGCATAGACCTAATTATAAAAATCTCTAAATTTGAAATTGAAGATCAAAAGAAAAATTGTTAAGGTATGATGTTTTCCATACGGATGCACATATGATGGAAAGTTTGTAATGTGATCGTTGATAAAGAAAATTGTAAAAATGTAGTATCAATAACGATAGTGAAAAAGTTAAAGTTACCTATTATTGATCACCCAAAACCCTATAAAGCAACTTGGTGAAATGGAAATTGTGTTATTTGGGTGAACTAGAGATGTTTAAAGAAATATTCAATATGGAAGAAGTATCAAGATGAAGTGTAGTGCGAATTTATCCTTATAGAGACATGGCATGTTCCGTTGGAAAGACCATGGAAATATGCTTAGAGGAGTTGTGTATAATGGATTCAAAAACACATTTGTTTGAACTAAAGGGATATAAAATTGTGCTCATGTTGATGAAGAAAGAGCTTTGGGCTAACAACAAAAATATTCTAAAAAAGTTAGTGTGTTGGTTTATGTTCCCTAGGGTATTGGAGAAACATGATGGTGTTGACGAAGAGAAAATTTTTATCGATGACCAAAAGTTTAAGAATGTGAAAGATGAGGTCTAAAGGGACAATCTATTCCATTTTAAACTTATAAAAGGAAAATGTCGACAATGAAAAGATGATGATGAAACTGAATTTTTCAAAAAGGTCGTTAAAGTTGTTGGTGATCCTAGTCTCCTTAAGGATTGAATTCCACTACCAAGGTATGATAGAGATCTCTTCGAGTTTTGTATGCTAGAATAGTCTAAAATTCTTATAGATTTAGACCAACCTCTAATCTATGATGATATTGATGATGCTAACCTTAAAGATACCAAGAATAAAGTTAATGATGATGACTTTGGCAATGTTGTAGCCATTAATCCTTTCAACAATAAAGCCAACATTGTTACTGCAATTGAAGAGCTTGAAGAGGGTGATGATTATAGTAGTTATAAAACTAAAACTCAATACGATAATGGTGAGAAAACGTTAAAAATTTTTGCTAGAGACAAATAAGATGTAAAAGATAGAGGGCTTGTTATTGTTGATGAAAAAAGCGGAATGTTTCAATTGAAATATCACTACCTAAATAGATTTAGGCTGCACTAATTTTGAATGTATAATATATGATGGTTGAAACATTGACTCGTGATGAGATAAAGCTATAAATGAATGAGAGAGAAGTTGACATAGATTTTAAAGGCATCATCGACACTCGCAACTACACTAAATTTACTCAATGATACTCGCCATAAAAGCATATTTAATCAATTCTAATATTATTGCTTCAACCATAAAGAAGACTAGTTGTTAGTGTAGGTGCCACTAGATCCAACTTGTTGGGATGATTTGATTTATTGTATTATTACATTTCAATATTAATAACAAAGTCTTTCTATTAATTCTTGTTATTTATAATTTGATAGAATTAGATAGAAGTCTATATAATATTCATTGCTTTAATGATTGATCAATAGATATGAGATAAATATCAATGCATTTAAATGATATTATTAAATGTCCCAAGTCATAGCATTATCAAGATTGGACATTAACAATATGCGATAAGACTTGTAAGTGTTATGCTCTTGCTATAAAATAGCGAGTAGGAGATCTCATACCTATTGGCATGGTAATGCTAAAGCAAGCACTCGAGTGAATAATGTTAGAGAGCATATCACTAAACATGACTCATCATGAGAACCCATTTGGTATTATCTATAAAAATCTTATACGAGATGGGTACAAGTAGTTCTTTTACTCAAAGTCATCACAATTATCTTATTAGAGAATTGGTGTATTTTGACATTATTTCAATAGGCTCAATAAGGAACTAAATGTAAAAAATTCGGTGGGTGCATTAGAAACCTAATAAAGATAGGTGGATGATTGAGATATGACATATCATTTTTTATATGTTAAAGGATTTATCACATTATATTTCGATGAATGTCCGCTATGAATCTATGGCCATAGTAGAAGTATACAAATAGAGCATAGTTAGTTTACTTGAGAGTTAAGACATTTTAAGATCAAAGAAAACTTATGTGATCACAATCAAATAAACTATAAATCAATTTTGAGATCACATTGTGATAAATTAACATGAGGATCGAATTGTATGAAAACCATGCTCGTAAAAGTTAATTATAGATTAATTAATCCTTTTAGAGAATTGGATAGTCATGATGCCTTATCGGAGACTAATGTTGATTTATATATCGAAAGATAAAAGAGGTGTCTTTTACTTCTCGATATATTGCCAACATATCGAGGAGCATATTGAGTCACATACATAAGTTTAAATATTCACATGATAAAAGAGAAACACGGGTTTTGAAAAAAGTTTTTTGTTTTGAAAAAGTTTTCTATTTTGAAAAATTAGTTTTCTAAAATAGAAATCGGTTTTCTATTTCGGAAATTAGTTTCTTAATTTGGAAATCAGTTTCAAAATTTGGAAGTCAATTACCTAAAATGAAAATCAGTTTCTTAATTTAAGTTTAAAGGTAACTTGGGAAAATGTTTCCTAATTGGTGAATAATTAGGCCAAAAGAATTCGAATCAATAGGTTTAATTTAAAAACCCGTAAGGTATTTTAATAGAGGGATAATCTTGAGCATTAAAGGATAACATTTAGGTTTATAAGGATAAGATCAAACAAACCTACATAAGTAACAACTCCTTTCCTAAGAAGAAGTTATTTTCACCACTTATATAAGAGATAAGAAGAAAGAGATGCCATGCAAGACATAATAATAACAAAAGAAAAGAAAAATTATGCACATCTCCTCTTCAAAACTAGAAGCCGCAACTTCTCTCTCTTAGGAATTTTGGTGTAAAAACCTTAGGTTGATTTCTTGAGAGAAAATTACTTTATAAAAAAGGTTGGAGCTAGCACATTATAATTTTTGTTGCTTTTTATGTGAGTGTTTGACTATGTAGATTATCAACAAAGATCGAAAGCTTGGATGGTTCTTTTTGTACAACTTGAATTCCATACCTGCAAGAGGTAACTCCTAAACATCTTATTATATTAACATAGTTAGTTGATTCAATGATAAATCTTGAAAACTTTAAATGGAAGAGAATAAAATTTTTTATTTATTCCATACCTCCATAGGATGCATAATACTTCAATTGATATCGAGTCTTCGTTGAATCTTTAATTGTATTGATGTTAATTTTGATTAATCGCATTAATTATTGATTTCTGTTTGTAAATATTTTGATTTTGGTATCTTATAATCCTTTTAAAATCTAATTTTGGGCGGTAAGAAGGCACTTGCGAGGCAAAACATGCCTCGCTCATACTAAGCCAATAGTCAAGCTCACGAGTGCAAGCACACCAAGCCAATGGCAAGCCCAACATGTATAAGCATGCCAAGCCGGTGGTAGGCTAGGCTAGGCATGCCTCGCCTATGCTAGGCCGCCTCAAGCTAGGTGTGCCATACACACGCTAAGCCAGCCGCCAAGCAAGTTTTAAGCATCGGCTAGTTCGGGCGCATGGCTAGTGGTCGGTGTATTAAGGTCGGTGTTAGGCATTGCCTAGTAGCCAACCTATGTTAGTGCTAGGCACTAGCTAATAGGGGCAAGCTAGCTCGTTTGTCTCCAAGGCCATAAGCCTATGGGCCCAAATTAGGCCCATGGCCCAAAAATTTAAAAATTAAAATTTTAAAAATTTTAATGTTATTTATAAAATGATCAAAATATTGATAATTATGATAGAAATAAAATATGTATCATTTGTTTATATGCTATGTATCAATGTGATTGAAGTATGAATGAATAGATATGAATAAGTCGACCTAGTTTTTAAAAATGTATGCTTGTAAATTTTTAGTTAAATAGGACCTACGTGTCTTGTCTTCTCTTTTATTCTAACAAATTTCTCTTCTCATCTTATTCTCCTCGAATGTAACTCGAGGTTTCTAATTCAAAATTGTAAAAATAGAAAATAAATTAGTAGAATAGGTACAAAGAGAATGAGATAAGAAAAGAAGACAATCCCGAAAAAAAATATAATAATTTTTCACCTAGGTATGTGACCTACTAGTCTTCTTATGGCTCGAGAGAAATATAATAATTTTTCACCTACGTATGTGACCCACTCGTCTTTTTATGACTCAAATGGACTAGTAGTAAAAATTCATTACTATTCATTGATCTTAAGTCATGTATGAGATTAATGTGATTGAACTTTAATATACATGATTATGATACAATTGAAATCTAGTATGCATAATTGTATGAGATCAATGAGATTGAACTCTAATATGCATGTTAAGATTAAAATGATAAGACCATACCATATTAAATTCTTCAAACAAATATCAAGTTATATGATTTTCAACGTTATGAAAAGAGAACTCTCTTGGTTGTTATTTACTTATTAAGATAAATCAAAGTCACTTCTTCCTCGAGAAAATCAAATCATGAGCTATGCAATGTCTTTGAATGTTTAGGTCTAATTAGAAATGAATTGTTGGATTTATTGAGATAACTCAAAATCCAACAAATTTATAGGGAAAGATTGGTATTCATATAAGATGTGAGATGATAAGGAGTTATCATACCAATGAGATTAAGAATTCTATTGGATGTAATTGGTCAAGAGTTACCTACCTAATCCTTTTATGTATAACTTATTAAGATAACTTAAGGTTAGTACTTGTTTGTGGATGGGATCTTAACTTGCTAAGGAAAACAAATCAAAAAGTTTTCTCAAGTCCTAAATTGAAGGTTATAGAACTTGAAAAAAATAGCGAGAGTGAACATAGATTTTACTTTAATTTATACTTTGTTTATTAATGTAAATCAATTAACCAAACCGTATGTTTTTTTTTATCTTATCAAGGTTATTGCATAGTATGATCGGTAATACATCGATACGATTGATAATTAATGAAAGTAATACCTTGAATGGCATAAACTTTCTTGATTGGAAAATGAATCTAAGAAATGTCCTTCAACATGAAAAAATTCTCTATACGATAAAGGAAAACGAGTACCCGTAAGAGGTGCAAAAGAAGAGTTCTAATAAGCACCTTAAGTATTTATATTATTAAAGTTAATTTTTCTACTTCTAGTCCCACATCATGGGTATTTGATACCGGATGTGGTGCTCACATTTTTACAAACGTGTAAGGACTAAGAGAGTTAAGAAGGATTGCTTTAGGAGAGGTTGACCTACGTGTTGATAATGGTTCAAGAGTTATACCATTAGTCGTAGGCACTTATGAGTTAGCACTCGCCATCTAGGGTTGTGCTTATACTCGTAAACTTTATTACATTCATAGTATAACTAGGAATATTATTTTCATTTCTTATTTGGATCAAGATGGTTTTACATTTTGATCTAAAAACAAAAGTTATTCCTTTTATAAAGATGATGTTTTATATGGAAATACTCGAAATTAATAATGATTTGTTTGTTTTAAACATATACCACCTATTTATAACATAAATACCAAAATATTCAAAACAATTAATCTAAACAAAATATATATGTGACATTATTGACTTAGCCATATAAACAAGAATTGAATATCTAAATGACATAAAAATGGATATCTAAAATCTTTTGATTATGAATCTTATGATGTATGCGAATCTTGTCTACTTGGAAAAATGATAAATTCTCTTTTAGTGAAAGATAAGAAAAAGTCTGTTGATTTGTTAGGCCTTATACATAGTGATGTATATAGGCCTATGTCCACCCAAGCAAAAAGAGGACATGATTACTTCATAACCTTTGTTGATTATAGATCACACTTTGGTTATGTATATCTAATGAGATAAAAATCTAAAGCATTTATAAAGTTCAAAAAATTTAGATTCAAAGTTGAGAAACAAACTGGAAAAAGTATTAGGACACTTCGATCTAATCGAAATGGTGAATACTTAAGTAGTGAATTTTTAAATCATCTTAAAAAGAATAGAAATGGACTCCACTAAGAACACCATATATGAATGGTGTGTCTAAAAGGATATATAGGACGTTGTTAAACATGGTCCGGTCTATGATGAGTTGTAATGATATCCCGATTTCATTTTAGAGATATGCACTCCTTACTACAACCTTCATTTTGAATAGAGTTTTAATAAAATCGTTGATCGGACTCCATATGAGTTATTTTCTTAAGATTTAGAGTTGTGATGCATACGTTAAACGTTTAGATGGAGACAAGCTAAAGCCCAAATCAATGTAATGTAAATTTATGAGATATCTAAAAGAAAAAAATGGATATTGTTTTAATCAACTATAAGAACAAAAGGTATTTGTGGCTAGACATGTTGTATTTCTTAAGAAGAAATTTATAAATGTTAGAACCGAGTAAGAGAAAAGTCAAATTCGATGACTCACAAATTGACAATCTAGTCATGGAACTGTAAGTAGATAGATTATAAAGTGTTGTAACTACCTCACAAACCGATACACAAGAACTTCATATGTCTAAAAGGATTCATCAAAAGCTAAAAAGATAGTCTTTTTATCGCTACGCGTGCTAATGTGTCTCCTATAGAGGATGATGAACTTAATACTTATGAAGAAGTAATGTTAGACATTTACTCCAAGAAATGGCATAAAGTCATGTAATCCTAAATGGAATCCATATACACTAATCAAGTATGGATTTTAGTTGATCCATCCGAAGGTGTCGGACCTATTAGGTGTAAGTAGGTCTTTAAGAGAAAAATTGACATGGATAGTAATGTATATACATATAAAGCCGGATTGGAGGTGAAAGTCTATTGTAAAAAATAAAGGATTGATTATGAAAAAACCTTTTCACCAGTTGCCATGGTTAAATCTATTAGGATTATGTTTACAATTATTACGTATCATGATTATGAGATATGACAAATGGATATCAAAACTATTTTTTAATGAAAATTTGAATACGGATGTGTATATGACACAACTTGATGGTTTTGTTACAAAAGAAATACAAATAAGGTTTACAAATTATAAAGGTCCATATATGGACTTAAGCAAGCATATGGGGGTTAGAATCAATGTTTCAATGAAATGATCAAAAATTTTAACTTTTTACAAAACGAGGATGAATCTTGTATATACAAAAAGGTTATTAGGAATTCGAGTAATCTTTGTTGTGCTATATATAAATGACATATTATTTATTAGCAATAACATCACCATGTTACGAGTATGTAAAAGATTGGCTATTTAAGGATTTCTCATGAAAGACATGAGAGAGACAACTTACATTCTACGAATCAAAATCTATAGAGATAGATCATGAAGAATGTTAGGATTCTTTCAAAACACATACATTAAGAAAATAGTAAAAGAGGCTTAGTATGAAAAAGTCAAAGATAAGACTTCTTCTAATATCACATGGCATAAAACTCTCTAAGGTTGAGTATTCTAAAACAAAAAGCAAAAAAGAAAGGATGAATCGCATTCCTTATGCACCGGTCATATGATCTATTATGTATACCATGCTATATATGTGGTTTGATAACTCATATGCTTTGAGCATATATAGTAGATATCAAGTTGATCTAGGTAAGAAATATTAGATTACTATAAAGAGTATTCTTAAGTACTTGAGAAGAACTAAGGATGTTTTCTTAGTCTACAAAGGACATGAACTAATGGTGAAAGGGTTCACGGATATTAGTTTTTAAACCGATTATGATAACTTTAAATCATAGTTAGGATTCATTTCCTGTTGAATGGTAGTGTTGTGAGCTAAAAGAGTTTTAAGCAAGAAACGAGTAACTAACTCAATAATCGAGACCGAATCCATTATAATCATAGAAGTAGCCAATGAAGTTGTCTAGATTTATAAATTTTTGTCTAGATGACAAGTTATTCCAAGCATTGTTAATCGTATAGTATTATACTCGTGACAATAACAAAACCATAGACAAGCTTAAAAAACCAAGGTTTCATCAATGGTCTAAGCATGTACTATGACGTTACCACCGATTAGAGAGATTATCAATCATGGTGATATAAAGAGGGAATGGTCCAATCGACAATAATATAGTAGATCCTTTGACTAAGCTTTTATCATAGCATAAACATGAAACCCTTGTTCAATTATCAAACATAAGGAAAATGGTCGGTTTGCTTCTAAGTGCGAGTGGCGGATTGTTAGTGTGTGTATCTTAGATTTAACTTTTTTATATAGTTTGATTTATTTTATCATTGCATTTCAATATTAATAAAGAAATCTTTATATTAATTCTTGTTATTTATAACTAATAGAATTAGATAGAAATATATATTATTTACTGTATTAATGATTAATTAATAGATGTGAGATAAACATCAATGTATTTAAATGATATCATTAAATGCCTAAGTTGTATCATTATAAAGATTGGACATTAACAATATGTGATAAGACTTATGAGTGCTATGCTCTTGCTATAAGGTAGCGATAGAAGATCTCACACCTACTCGGTATGGTGATGCCAAAGCAAGTACTCGGGTGAATAATGTTAAAGAACATATCACTCGGACGTGATTCATCATGAGAACTAATTTAGGTTTAAGGATAATTTAAAAAAAATGTTTTCTAATGCTGGCCTCCTAAAAATACTTGACCCGATTTATTTGGATGATCTAAATTAATTAGTAAATAATTAGGCTAATAGGTTTAATTTAATAGCACTGTAAGATATTTTAGTGAAGGGATAATCTTGAGCACTAAAGGATAAGGCTCGTAACTTACAAGGATAAGATCAAATAAGCCCACATAAGCAATAACTTTTTGACTAAGAAAGAGTTATTACCACCACCAAAATAAGAGAGAGGACGAGATAAACACCATATAAAACACAACAATAACAAAAGATCAAACAAGCCCACATAAGCAAGCAACTTCTTGACAAAGAAAGAGTTGTTGCCGCCACCTAAATAAAAGAGAGTTGTCATACAATACATAACAATAACAAAAGAAAAGAAAAGTTATGTGCATCTCCTCTCCAAAATTAGAAGCCATAACTTCTCTATCTCTTAGGAATTTTGGTGCAAAAACCCTAAGTTGATTTCTCAATAGAAAATTACTTTATAAAAAAGGTTAGAGCTAGCACACCATAATTTCGTCACTTCTTGTATGAGTGTTTGATCGTGTAGATTATTAATAGAGATAAGACGCTTGAATGGTTCTTTTCACATAATTTGAATTCTATACTACAAAAGGTAACTTCTAAACTTCTTGTCATATTAATATAGTTAGTTGATTTAATGGTAAATCTTAAGAACTTTAGATTGAGGAGAATATAAAATTTTATTTATTCTATACCTTCATATGATGCAAGATCCTTTACTAATGAAGGCTTAGTAAGGGAAAACATCATAAAAAGAAGTTGGAAGAATCACATAACTTTGTTGCTAATCACCACTAAGCTATTGTATGATATAACTACAAGTGTTGATCATGACTTAGAGGTTTTAGCTACGTTCATACCTCATCTAGCCAATGAACCTAATGTGTGTGAACCTTTAGAAAAGTTTCATGACACAACTATTAAGAAAATTTTATCTAGATAAATTAGAGTAGAAACGTGCAAACACCAATATGTTATGTAAAAACAAAGCAAACTACTACCGCAATCGAATTTTTAATTGATAGAGGAGTAATCAAACTTATTATAGAATGGTTTGACCTAGTGGTAATGAGGAATCAAAGAGAGATCATTTCTAGCCATATCATAATGATGAATAAAGACAATTCTCTAATGAATGAGGTGTTTCACAAGTTCGGACCCTCTAAAAAAGTCATGACTATGGTGTGTGACTTTCACGGCTTGAAGGCATTATTTTATACTCTAGAAAATTAAAAAAATCATAGTTTAAAGATGTTTGGTATGAGAAGAAATATTATGTTGTATTATGCTTACTTCATATGAAAACTCGTTGAGAATAGTTTGGACAAAGATAAAAATTTTTGCTATCTATGACTTAATGATAGTTAAAGAGTGAGGTATATATTATTGTTGTAGGAGCTGCTAATGACTAAGCCTACACACTACTAGCTATAAGAACGAAAGGTGAACTGCATATGCTACCACATGCGAAACTATGAACCATCATTGTGTTCTTTCAGCGAACCGACGCCTGCAGCACTATGCAATTGTGATGTTCTTATCTACACCAAAGAGACAACAATAAACAAGGACACACTCACAAAAACTATAAGACCAAAATACAATATAATTATTACGGAATATTCAACCACCGATGAATATTTTGCGTATATTTATAAAGCATATCAATTTTATGATTTTTGATACTTGGTCATGTTGTGAAACACATATTGATTTTGCAATTTTATGTGTTTGGTCATATGGTGAAACAAAGCAATAAAGATGCATGATCATGAGAAAATCTAAAAGAAATTATTCAAAAAGAAATAATATGTGGAAGAGGACATCTAATGTGTTAGAAAGAGTTCTTTTGGGGTTCAATTTTATCGTGTTGCTAATGGAGGTCCAACCACTTTCAACATGATTTTAAAGAAGAATAATGTGACTTGTTTGGAATGCCTCATCATGATTGGGATAGTGAAAAGGAAGGCTTTAAAATTCAAATTTAAGCTTTCTCTAATCCAAAAAGTATAATGCGGGAGCATCCTTTCAACTTGGTCGAAAGTTTCTGTATAACTCGTGGACAAAACTTGCAATAATCTATTCTATCTTATTTACTTTTTTTTTTATGTGGATCGAATATTATTTATTTGAGTTATTTTTTATTTGTGTAGACTTGAGCTAAATAATTAATCCTCGTGGTTTTTAGATTGCTCATTTGTTTTAGGACATGGTCGAATATATGACTTCTTTTCATTTAATTATGAGTCTAATATGTGGCTTCTTTTTATTTAATTATGAGTCTATGTAATATATTAATCAAATTTAATTGGGCTAAATTAATTAATTCCTAATTGAATATAAATTATATAAGTTCAAATTATTTTAATTATGGGAAAAGTCCCGCCTAAGAGAGGAAATACAACCCTAGCCATAACTCTTAGAGTTTTTAGAGAGTGAGCATTATAGCACACTCTATGCTCTTTTATGTCGGATATTTTTAAATGAGAGTTTTTTTTTTATAATTTTTTCATATCTTCTTTGATTGGATTGTTTAAAATATCATAAAACACATCCTTATAATGATCAATTAAGGTGGATTCTTGACGAATGTATCTCATAAGTACTCTTTAAATCATTTTTAGGTGGTGGATTCTTCTCGAGAGTGAGACATTGAGGCTTGCACTTTCATTTGTTTGATTATTAGATTGAAAGTTGACTTGAATTTTGAATTAAACAATTTCGACCATAAAGCCAATAACCAAGGCTAGGGGATTTTTTTTAATCTCAAATTTTGAGAGAATTTTATTTAAGGTCTGATTGAACCTCTATAAAAAACATAAAAAATAAAAATATTCGATTAGGTTTTTGAGTTGTTGAACGTTGTTGGAATTCTCAAGTCTTATTATGTCTAGAACTTCAACTTATTTAAATAGGGATCTAAAGAGCTTTAATTGATCTAAATTTTGGTACAATTACTCTAAAAGACCTTATCTAGATTGTGGTAAAATTTTAGCTTATTCCAAGTAGTGTAGCCTTGGTAAAACATTTACCCTAGCTGATAGGTTTTTGAAATGTTGTATATGGAGTTTTGAAATTTTGTTTGGGTTTGTGATTTGAGTTTGTTTGATTATGTTTGGATTTTTGATTATGGATTTTTTGGGGTTAATTTTAAGGCTGAATTATTATTGGGGAATTTCAGCCTAGAAATATTTCTTTAAAGCTTATGTATTTGAGTATCCGTAGAGTTTGGCATATCTCAATCTAGCATCAGCTTGACATCGATCACCTAAAGCAAACATAGATGGGTCGAACCTCATACCTGAAAAAAGAACACAAAAAAATATAAGAGTCAGCAATAGGATGGAGTAAAAATATGAATGGAACAATAAAAAAATAAATAAATAACAAACTATCACCAAAAAAAAAAAAAAGAGGAATAAATAAAATTCGAGAGGAGTATTATAATTACCTGGCTAGAAGAGCCACATTAGTCAATATAGATAATGCATGGAGAGTGATCGGAGTTTGACTGAATCTCATCGAATAAAAAGGTCAGAAAATCAGATTTTTTCCTTCCTCTCAATTAACTTGACCATATGCTTTTCAATTGGCATCAAGATGGTTTTTTTGTTAAAACTCTTGTATTTAGGAATAATCCAAACTAATGGAAAGGTCATTGATCTCCATCGAAATGATTAATGTAGAAATTATTGGTGATTGACACATGCTTGTGAATAGAAATAAATTTTTAAATGTCTTGACTCATTTACTAGAGGAAAACATTCCATGTCCCAAATCATGGGAGAAAGTAAACACCGTCAAAGTAAAAAAGCTTCAACAAGGTAAGATGAGTTATTTTTTATTACGCTGAAACCTTGATTGATGTTTCAATTAGCTTCATATTACATAATTGAGAGTATTGTTCATAGAATTTCGAACTGCATGGTATTAGATGTTAATTATACGTATACTTCCCTCGCCTAGTATCCTTAGTTAATCCTCCAAGTCCTACATTGTCTGACCAGAAACAAATTATGGTTATTGGGAAAGATAACATCAGTTCAGAAGAAATGATGATTGTAAAAACGACAATTATCGAAACAAAGAATCCTTTAAATTATGTAACACAATCTACTATTTTTTTATGCAGTTAGGTTATGCCCTCTTCTTACATCAAAAACCCGTGTTTAACAGATGACTTGAAAGTGGGTATAGATCTATTTGACAATCAAAGATCAAAATGTGTCAGTTATTAATGAACTTCATGATTAGAGGACGATTACAATTATGATTTCTTTTTCATTTTTTTTTCTATAAATTTTAGAAGGAAAAATTTTGCCTTATAGGATTTTTCCTAGCATTTGCTAGTGGAGATGGCCTATCACGCTATCACATAGATTTTTATGAAATCCAGGTATTCATTCAGATTCCAAAAGCTTTGAATTTATTCAAATCAATATGTTTCATTTCTTGTGCTTACTTATAGTACTTTACTTCCCTTTCTAGCAAATTGGCACTGGAAACTTCAGTTGTATATTCAAAATTTTGAAGAGAATTGATGGTTTCTTTGGCAGAGTGCTATTAACGTTGTTTGCCTACACAGTTAATGAAATAGTTAAAGAAACATAGACTCGAGTTGTTTGTTCACTTGCTTGATTTTATGTATCAAATACTTGGCTGGTAGAAAATATATGTAGATTAATATATTCAAAATTAACATCATTCTTCTTGAGATTATTTTTCCTCCTGTTGATGTCGTGCCTAAGTAGCTATGTCGGCTTCCAATTTAATAGGTGCAAGCTTGATTGGTCATTCAATTATTGTTTTCCATGCTACTTTACTTATATATCAAAAAAGCATTATATATATAGTTTTTTAAAACACTGACGATAGCATGCCAAGCTGAAGCATATTTATAGCATGCACATGAAGGCACAACAAAAATAAACCAACAAACCCTCTTTTTCTCCACCACCAATGACAGTCGCCCCACACTTTAAACTTCGTTCATTGTCTAAGATCATCCAACACTTTTGTGGAAGCCTAAAACCATTGTTCCTCACAGCCATTAAGCATCGTTTTACGCCATGGAAGCGGTTCCAGCTCGGAATAGAAACAGAACAATAATAGAACAGTTGCTCCAACCGCTAATCGACGGATATGGGATAACGTTGCCCTCTAACAATTTTTATTTAGAAAGATTTTCGTCCTTATAAACTTTGCTTCCTTTGTTTGCCCATTCCATTCATCAAATATCATTAGTTAATGGTTTCTTTGGCAGACTATTCTCTATACCTACTGAAAACTAAACCCCTCTGCCAATAACTCACCGAGTCCTGCTTTTCCTAAGCTGTTTCTACTTGAAGCATACGGGTGTTTAATAACTAGACTTCTGAGTCCAGTTTTCCATGCTGCTTGGCAGGCGGCTAACATGCGCCCTAGCAAATACGTACAATACATGTGCTGCATGGGGAAAAAAATTAGACGATGAGAAAAAAGAGCAATGATGACGAATGTTATCGTCATTAAACGATTGGTCGTTCGAGAGGGACTAACGGTATAGGCATACACCATCCTCCTAATTAAAAAGGCATCAATACCGCAGTGAGGAACACTTATGATAAGTTTTGGGAATAAATAATATGGAATGAGACGTGCATAAAAATAAGAATAAAATATATAGTACATAATTAAATACATAAAAATCAAGATATATTATTATTAATATGTAAAAAGGTGCAAAGTTGATTGTTGTAGACTGATTAAAAACGCACTTTCACTTTAATCTTGTTTTTGCTGGACTACAAGAAACGGAAATCAAGTTAAAGGCATCGAAATATATGTAACTTCTGATTGTAATTATAAACTACCGTATAACATTGAAAAGTAATGAAATATCAAAGTAGATTGTTAGGCCATTTTTTGTCGTGCTTCGATGACTGTAGAATTTCGGTGAAACTACAGTAATCAAACAGTTTATTTATTTTGAATTCAAATGTTTAAGAAGCATATATTTTAGCTAGAAAGTAGGTGTTCGAATTTGAGATTTTTATAACAGGAGCACGTTAATAAATAGTTGAATTACAATGTATAGGCCAGAAAGAATATATATGCTTCAAATAAATCTTAAAAGTAGTTAATAAGCGATGCCACCTATCGCTTGGGAAAGATTTAATTTTAAATTATACATTTAAATTTTTTCTCTCTCGTCATTGTTTTTTTGGCAATTCAAGAACTAACCATCCTTGGATCATCTAGCATGGATTTTTTTAAAATAAAAAATTTTAAATGTTCCACACTCTTGAAACTCGAGAAACATCCATAAGTTTGTATAGTGGTAAAAAAAAACATAAGAACATAGCCAAAAGAAGTAAGACTCTTTGACCTATCTTGCCATTGTTGAATTATTTAATATCTATCTTAGATCAACACATTTCCTGTAACATGTTTGCTAGGGACATGACTCCATAAGGCCGGTACAGTACTGACATTGTATATACATTAGTCACATGGTGTTGAAATATATTTGGATCTGAATTTTTTTTCACTCGGATGTAAGAAATATTTTAAATTAATTTATAATTGAAAATAATTTTTTTGAAAGATTTTAAATATATATTTTAAAAATCAATATGTATTTAAAAAAATTTAATAAATTTTTATAAATACCGACTTTAAAATTTAAATTCAAAAAATAAAAAAACAATATACATATATATTTTTTTAATCATTAAACCAATTCATTGAAACTACTTGAGACATAATCAAGTCAATATTCACATTTACTTAAAAAAAATTATAAGCAACCCTAGCATTGTTATTTTGATAACTCTTTTTTGTAATTGAACTGATAATTTAGTCTAAAAATTAGTTTTACAAATTATTAATTATCATTTGTAGATAATTATTCATTTGGTTTCAAAAAATTAATGTTAAAATAATTTGTAACTAATTATTAACTACAATTACCAACAAAATTTTACAACTGATTAAAATTAGTCATAAATTATTAATTTAGTTGTAAATAAATTATGTTCATAAAATAATTTATTTATTAATGAATTAATTAGTTAGTTATAATTTTTTTATAAATGATTCCAGTGTTGTAATAATTATTTTCAATCATTAAAGTATAATTTAAGTGACATTTGGGATAATAGTAAAAAAAATAGAAATAAATTATTGAAATATTTATTATAAAAATAATTTTAAACTAAGATTTTAAGAATATTTAATGCATTTATTAACCAAAAAATCAAATATTAGTAGAAATAGAGAAAAATAATTGATGATAATTGATAAAAAATAATTAAAAATAATTTAATATATATTTTTTTTAAAAAAAAGGAAAAATGTAATATCTATCGGAGGTAACAAGTAATTACCCTTCGTGCATGGAGGGTTATGTTTGCCCTCCAAAAACAGCCACCCCTTTAAAGAAAATTACTAATTAATCTTAATTCAAGAATGGAAGTTGGGGCAGGTGGGTTTTTAGGCAGGCCTACGTAGCAATAATAAGAAGGCCTAGATTTTTAGGGCTGCGGACCTTTTCTTTCTTTATATTTGTGTTTTGTATTTCAAGTTGTCATTGACGTCCTGTGGGTTTTAAATTCCAGCTTCCACCCCAGTTTCCAAAAAAAAAAAAAAAAAACCGGGGGTAGTTCCCTTGAAAAAAGGCGGTAGTACCACTTCCAACTTACGAAACCAAAACCATGGGCAGTTTTCTGTCAAACACGACAGCAGAAACCTCTTGCACTAAAACCGGCTGCTACGATCTCTGTATCCTGGTTTTTATTTTTACTATGTCTCCATCCCTTTTTATCCCTAAATCTCCATCCTCTTTCCACTTCTGTCTTCTCATTCTCACCTCTCTCTCTCTCTCTCCCTCTCTTTCTCTGTCTTTATATTTATAACATTCCTGCAAAGGCTGAATTGCACTCAAATGTTTCTGGGTATTAAAGGAGTTGCTTTGCAGAACCTGATGTCATGATGGTACGTTTCAGCTTCAATCTTTCAGTTCCTGGTGCTTCGAGCAATCATCATTACTGGTTTTTGTTCTAAGCTTCAGTTCACCTACTGCTACTGCCTACCGGGTATGATTTTTTCTAAAAGATAACATCTTTCTTCACTGCTACCCAATTACGCTTTAGAATTTCAATGCTCTGATATCTTATAAAGTCCCAATGTTGGATGTCTGACACATTTGCTCAACTGGGATTATTCCCAAAATCTTGAATCCAATAGGAAAGTTTTATAGTATAGCCGGTGACAAATTTTTCTCGTAGGTAGTTTAACGAAGGTTTAGGAATTAAGTATAGTTTGTGAGGTTGATGGAACACAATGGTTTAGGTGGAGGGATATTTCCAGGCATGGGATCAGGAATGCTAGGACTAGAATTGCCACTACAGCAACAACAAAACCCACAAAATCCTCACCACTTGCGCCATCCCCAAATGGTAGCCTATCCCCCCATGAATCAGACCACCACCAGCACTCCCAACAATCTGTCAAACATGCCTATCCTTTTGCCTCCACAAAGCCCAAACAATTACTATCACCATTGAGTGATGAAGATGAGCCTTCTTTCACTGGGGACGACAGCACTACTGATGGCAAAAGGAAGATGTCTCCATGGCAAAGAATGAAGTGGACTGATAATATGGTCAGGCTCCTTATAATGGCAGTTTTTTACATTGGTGATGAGGTTGGGTCTGAAGGGAGTGACCCTATAGGCAAGAAAAAGCCAGGTGGTCTGGCACAGAAGAAAGGGAAATGGAAATCTGTTTCTAGGGCGATGATGGAGAAAGGGTTTTATGTGTCTCCACAGCAATGTGAGGATAAATTCAATGACTTGAACAAGAGGTATAAGAGGGTTAACGATATCCTTGGAAAGGGGACTGCTTGCAGGGTTGTGGAGAATCAAAGTTTGCTTGATATTATGGATTTGTCACCAAAATTGAAGGATGAAGTGAGAAAATTGCTCAATTCCAAGCACTTGTTTTTCAGAGAAATGTGTGCTTATCATAATAGCTGTGGCCATGCTCCAACTGGCGTTGCCTCTGGTATTAATCACTCACCAGATATGGCTACAGAGCCATCTCATACTCAGCATCAACAAGCAACACAACAGCAACATCAAAGGTGTTCTCATTCAACTGAAAATGCTCCAGTTGTGACCAATTCGAGGACCGAAACAGAAGCCTCAAAAATGGCAAAAAGGGCAAGAAATGAAGAGGACGAGGAAGATGAGGAGGACGACGAAAGTGACGATGATGAAGATGATTATGAAGAGGATGAGGATGAGGCAATAGAAGGCAGTTCAAGGCATCAAGAAGGGCATGGCCACGGGGATGAAAACGACCATGAAGAGAAATCATCACGGAAACGGTCAAGAAAGGAAGTTTTTTCAGCAACTTCATCTTTGATGCAGCAATTGAATGGTGAAATAACCAACGTGCTCCAAGATGGAGCAAAGAGTTCATGGGAGAAGAATCAGTGGATGAAGCTGAGGTTGATGCAATTAGAGGAGCAGCAAGTGAGCTACAAATGCCAGGCATTTGAGCTTGAAAAGCAAAGGTTAAAGTGGGTGAAATTCAGTAGCAAGAAAGAGAGGGAAATGGAGAGAGCAAAGCTTGAGAATGAGAGAAGAAGGCTTGAAAATGAGAGAATGGTACTGATTATAAAGAAGAAAGAGCTTGAATTGCTTGATACTCAACACCATCATCAACAGCAACAACTGCCTTCAAGCAAGCTGAGTGATCCATCTTCCATTCCTGGATGAAATGTACACTAACAGATCAATCTAAGATAGTGTCGATAGATAGGACTGTATTTGTTTTTCTTCTTTTAGATTTATTTTATGTAAGTTGCTGCCATTTCTGTACGTGCTAGACCCTCTCAATGATGACAAGTTACAGTATTTCCTAAATTGTTAATATCTAAGATCTGGAACTCACAAAGTATATTTTGCTTAAATTCATGCTTGTTCTAAGATAATGTCTAGTCGCTTCAGAGTTTTATTACATGTTCAATTCCCACTAATTGAAACTCTGCTTTGAGAAGAGAAGAAAATGCTTGGAAATATATGAGAAAGGCGGTGTTTTTTTAATTTATTATTATTAATAATTTTTTCTAGAAAGAGCCAGCTCCATTGCTGAAGCAGAGGAGTCTTGGAAAGCTTCACCACGGTCCAGAAGATTGTCAACATGCTTCCTTCCGAAAGCAGGAGGAGTTCCATTCCCTCTTCTGTGCCTCGTGCATTAAAAGACCAATTGTTGGGCAAGAAAGAGTCCATACGAGGCTTGCTAAAATCTCTGCAGTTCTAACTTCCGCCCATGGGGGACCTTTCTTGTAAGCTGTCATGAAAATTGAGCGATTACACGCCACGTGATTAAGGATTAAGTCTTGAGACCCTAAGGCTTGTTGAAAGATATGAGCAGAAGATCCATGTTTGTTTTGCCTTGAAAATGGAGACTTCGTTTCTTGCATTGCGTTGGGCATCCTTGCAACGGTGTGAAGGTAATCAAATGGTAAATTTTGGGGTGGCACAACTAATTGTCAGCAACACGTAAAAAGTGCGTAAAATAAATCGTACGCCTGGTGGGATTCGAACCCACAATCGTTTGATTAGAAATCCGACGCCTTATCCATTAGGCCACAAGCGCGGATGTTTACTATTTGTCATTAAAATTGATTTCTATCTTTAATAGTCTCCAGAAGCAGTTGATTTACCAACCCGTGCAACGTGCAAGTTGCAAGCAATGCGAGGTGAAAGGTAACTTGCAGCCCTTGGGAGTTGGGCCAGCTAAAAATGAAAAGAGCTTCAAATGTTGCTGAAGGATCGATTCCAATTTTGCTGTTGGGTCTTAACTTCCCCATAATCATTGAAGGGAGAAGAGGGGGCATGAGCATGACGAACATTCAAGAATTCTGAAGGATCCCTTGACAATTGCCATGCATGGGCTTACATGCAGGATCACGTAGAATTCTCTGGCCAAAAACATATATTTAAAAAACTATAATTTGTTAAAACCGCTGGAAGCGTGAGAAGCAAAAGTCAGCTCGAAACGCATGGTATTTCATTTTGGATAGAAATTGCTAGAATCAGCCGTTAATGCCAGAAGCAAATGCACTTTGACAATCAAGTAAAAATAGGAAAGATAGATGGATATAGTTTCCATGACATTCATTTCGGGGGTGAACTAAAGTCATATCACTGTTCACTTCTAAGTACATTTCAAAACAAACTGGCAAGGAAACCTGCAGAGAATACATCTAACAGGTGCCAGGAACAAAATTCACCACCCGCTTTCGCAAGTATTGTTTGAAAAATGCAACGAAAAACAAAAATTGAGGCTGACTTTTTTTAATCCTCAAGCTCAATAATCTTGACCACAGATGCATCCCCAACTTTCTGGCAAACAACTACCCTGTCATGCGACTTTATTACTCCAGAAGCTTTTCCGTGATCAAGAGCAACCTTTAGAATGGACTCATTTGTAGCACTTGTAGATTCCGCCTGCAGAATCATATAGGAAACCAGTATTCAATGAACGCTACACCCCAAAAGAAACAAATCTGTTTGTAAACTACGTTGTTCTAAAGATATGACAAATGCAGGACTAGGGTCTATGAGGTTTGAGCCTAGACAGGGGTCACATTAGAATCTATCTGCAGCATACAGTTAAAGTACTCTCAATCCAGCGCCAATACCAAGTTATAACAATTGCCTATGCCAGGAGCAGCACGTGCCACAAGTAAAACCCTAATCCAGTTTCATTCACTCACATCAAGGACTGGGAAAAGGAATCCCACCCTGTCCCCAGGAGTGGTTCACTGTGCATGACTAGCCTAGCTCTTATATTGCGACATAGATGATCAAATACAATAATGTGATCAGTCCAAGACATGCCTTAAGTTGTCAACCTATGCAAGCCACTACAGTTACCATCTAGAAAAGACACATTAGTTGTTTATCATGCTCATGGAGAAAAACCTGAACACAGACAAATATCATCTCGTTCTCAAACAAGCGGAAGTGACCAAGTCAGAATTAATAACACAAGGTACTTACAGGATGTCGTGGATCAGCAAGCATAGGAAAGAGACCTCTGACAATGAGCGATTGCCTCGCCTGGACATTGACATGAAGGTAGGCAACAAAGTTTATTAAATTTAAAGTCAACAGCAAGTCCAAAAAAGAAAACATCAGGCGAGCATTATAAAACTCTAGTTTTCAAATCAGTTGGAAACAAGCAAAGCACAATAGACATTTCTCAATGGAACACAACACAATGTGGTTAAACAAAAATCCTTGATTCAATATAAAAAAATGGCTACTAAAGTGAATGAGATCGAGTGAATATTGACTCCTCCATAATTAAAACAACGAGCATTGTAGTTAGTCCTGACTAAAGGAAAACAAACCTGTGCTTTAAATCCAACTAAATGAGTTGAACCTAATATGAGAAAGCAAAGTCTGCAAGATTTAATTGGTGTGAGATGTCATAAAGCAATACGCAATGTGAAATTCAATTTTTCATTTTCCATGCCAGATAAGGGGAAAAGGAACCTGACAGTGTATAATTATTGACAGTTTGTTTCAAGAAATAAATCTGTGAGTTTAGTGGATATCGGGCAATCATCATCCCTTCAAATTTTTAAAAGTTATGACTTGAGTGCCACCTTAGCAGGGATTTCCTGTCATGTCCGGAAATGAATTTGGGGAAATTATCAAGGGTTCAACAAAAATTCCATAGAAAAAATAACCCCAACAAACTTCACTACATTAAGCGAAAAAAATAAATTTTGAACTAAGAGCATACCTCAAAAGCCCCACTAAAGCTCCATTTCAATTGATTTGTCTTAAGTCGAGGGATGACAACAGAGAGAACAGGCATTGTTGGCCTATACTTGGCAATCAATCTGCAAATGCAATGTGTATTTAACATTTTGCACTCAATAGGTAATATGGAATTCTAAATCTGATATAAATTCTAGACTTATGCTTAGTAAATTAACTGGCACACAAGAAAATGAAAATACATAAATAGAAAGATACCTTGCAGCCCTTCCTGAAGAAGTGAAGCATATAATGACAGAAGCCTTCACCTTAATGGCTGCTCGTACCTAGTTAATTAAAAAATACTGGCATGAAATGCAATTGGAAACATGGAAATGCTTCAACAAAACCTAAGACTGCTCTCACGATGAAGTCATTGAAGAAAAAAGATATGAAAGCAACAATACCGCAGATGAAGCAATGGATTCAAGGTGGGTCATTGGCTCTCCAACATATTTGACAGTTTTCTTGAAATACAAGTCCTGATTGAAAACCTTCTCTGCCTGGATGGGATGTTACAAAAGAATGAACAAAGCTGCATGGGACACAGTGAAGTAATCCAAGAATAACAGAAGATAATTTTGCTGCTTTAGTTAAGTATCAAGATTGAAGCACTAAAAGAAATAGGTGGATAGAACATTTTGTGTTCATAAGTAGAACAGAACAACATTACAATAAAACCAGATCTAGGCTGTGGGTATGTCAAATTTCAATAAGTCACAATAACCAATTCCAAATAAGATGACATAAAGTTATGCTCACAATATATAATGCTGATAAGATATACACGGAGAACTTAAGGCATCAAAACATACACACAACAAGAGTTCAAAAAAAATAAAATAAAACACACAAACATAGACAAAAGGAGAGTCTATAAAAGTAATGAATTCCATGAGGAACAAAGCAAATAAATTTTGGCAAGTTCAAGTTGTTGCACAAAAAGATTAAATAATTATAACAGGATCCACTGATATTCCAAGCAACAAGTGCAATCACCACAATGTTTATAAAGTCCATTAACAAAGAAGTACAAAGACAAGAGATCACCATAGTTCAAGCATTTAAAGCAATAAAATACCATTCAAAAGAATAAAACACATCTATAGAGATTATATCTTTAAAAAAGTTGAAATCGTATTTTGGCCTCGGCACATTAGCTATTATAGAATTCAATAAGTGAGAGTCACTCATTCTAAACCTCAAACTTCTTAATTGCAAGATTCATCCAGAATCTAACCAAGATGTACTACAGTCATTTAAGAAAAAAAATTACCTCAGCACAAATTCTACCAACAATGGAAATGGTTTCTACAGGGTACAGCCCTCGAAGAGTCTCAGCACCAAGAAGAATCGCATCACTTCCTGCACCAGTTATAAAGGAAGAGATTAAAACAGAAAAAACTAAGGCATAAATTTTTCATGTTCACCAATCCAAAAAAAAAAAAACTATACAAATGATAGAAGAAAATATAGTTGTTATCAATACAAGGACTCAGTCCAGTAACCTTATATCATAGAAATGATGAAATACGGAAATATAAGATTGAGTATCAGCCAACTGTCTTAAATGCAACAGATGTTTCAAGATAATAACGCACCATCCAACACAGCATTAGCAACATCAGTTGCTTCTGCACGAGTTGGTCTCAAGTTGTCTGTCATACTATCCACAACACGAGTAACCACTGCAGGCTTGCCAGCCATGTTACACTTGTAAAGGGCAGCCTTCTGAAATAAGAACACCTGCAAATGCCAAGAGGTTAATTAGTGGGGGGCTCTACACAACACCATTTTCTTAGCCTTCTAACCAAGTATTAAGGAATTTATTCCCAACAAAGGCCAGTGTAACAAATTGGCATTTATGGAATGGAGCATAAAAGTAACTATTATACGTAACATATCACAGGTTGTACGATATGCCATGGTTGAGATACAATATGAAACCCATTTGAATCACATTCGTTGCCAGTGAAAGAGCAACTTTTAGGACATCTTGCATAGTTTGGTATCTCTTTTAAATCAATTGTACTTTCCATTGAACAAGGACACTAAAGCTTTGGCCATTGAGTTGTTCAAAGCTAAAAACAACATTTATAGCTTGGCTTTTCCAACTCCCAAGTTAAAACAACTCCACTAAAGAAGAGAAGAAACTAGAAACTCACTGATGGAGGTAAAAAGTTCCAAAATCTATGAACCTGTAATTGACATTCTATGAGTCCAGAACACACACACTTGACGCATCTTTTGATATGCCAAACAGATAATTAATTATACATTGTCTGCATAAAAGATGTTGTAACTTAACATATCTTCTATAACATCATTGAAATGCCTAAGTTGAGTAACATAATAAAACATAGCAGAAGACATCAGCAGAGTCAATTATAGGCTATCCAAAAATCTTAAGTAGCCACTGAATAAAACATGCAAGAGCTTTACGCTATACAATGACTGCTTTGTTAAAATTAGAAACTTACTTTCTCAGGTGAAATGCCTGAGGAGTTGACTAGCATAATAAAACACAGTATATGTCAGTAACTTGTATTAGACAAGCATATGCAGATCTAGACATCTTAAATCTTAAATAACCACTGAATCAAATACACAACTTTATGCTATACACACAATGGCTGATTCATTCAAGTTAGAAACTGACCTTCTCTGGTGGGAGATCTATGCCCAAATTCCCTCTGGAAAGGATAATGCCATCAGCTTCTCGTAAAATCTCATCAAAATGGGTTAACCCCTGAAAGAAAGAAAGATTTAAGTATGTATACAAAAATAACATTGCTTTTAGTTAAACCCAATAAAAAATCAGTTGAAGTTATAAGATGATGGTATATGCTAAAAACCTCTATATTCTCAATCTTGGCAAAAATTTGAGTTTGATACAGATCACCCAGCTTAGATAGGTACTCACGGGCCTGCATTATAGTGCCAAAAAAGACTATTATTGAAGCTATAAAGAAAAGTTTCATTAGAAAATACACCAAGATCAAGGATTCTGTAAACCAGGATGTAACAAAAGGGCATTGAATCATGAAAATACTTACATGGCGTACGTCTTCTGCATGCCGGGTATATGACAATGAGAGGAAGTCAATTTTATTTTGAACTCCCCAAGCACTTATAACCTGTAACCAAAACCGAAAACAATCAGGCATAAAACTTGATACAAAGACACGAGGCAGAACAAAAAAAAGTTCATAAAACAAAAATTTTATATATTACATGACATCCACTGTTAAATTGAAGAAGTTAGGTACAGGACTGACCTCCTTGTCTTTATCTGAAAGAGTAGGAAGTTCAATACGAATTTGGGAGGCATGCAAAGTGAATAAAGACCCAGCCAAAGTTGCCGAGTTTTTTGTGATGCAGACCACATCATTGCCCTTCACCTCAGAAACCTGCTCAATTCAATTCCAGGGAAATATCAGCTAGTCATGCATAAGCATAGTTTTGTAACCAGACATGCATGGGTGTGAAAAGGCATTTTCTTCATAAAATCACACACACAAGCTAAGGCACAGTGGAGAGTAATAAATAAACAAGCTAGAATCCCACTTCCCTTCAGACAATGGATTGAACAGCATTTAAATTGGAAAGAACTAGACAGGAGACTCTAATCAATGACTAGCAACCAATATTGTACTTCTCTTACCTCCAGCCACACAGAAGTAGTTTCACTTCCAGTAAACAAGTATTGACCAACAAAAATGGTGTCTCCTGGCTTCACTGACTGCAAGACCGATTTGATTGTTACAAAAAATTGTATGAAAAAAGGGACATATACAACAATAAATAAACAATTCCTTTAATCCAAAAAGAAAATTCAATACACTTAATTTTATGTACGACAAATAGACAACAAAAAATAAAAAACCGTTACAATTTTGATTGTTAAACAGTAAAAAAACAGATTTTTTTTACAGTTAAAGTTCCAACTTCTTGCTTGGCCACATGGCTTCCCAGATTTCCAAAGAAATAAACATTTCAAACTCACTAAAGCATCATAAAGCACTAAGTTTCATCTAGTTGCGCTCATTTACATTACGTACACCTACCCTGACCAACAATGGTTCCATCAAATACAAGAACAGAACAATTATTACACCTGCAGCAGTATCCAAGCAAAAAAGGTGAAAAGGTCGATAAAACAAACCTCAGATAGTCCATCAAAATTGATGGGGAGAACTTCAGAAGAAGCTTCCTGTTCTTGATCTGGTGTCAGAATAACAAAACCATCTGCCTGGAGTGAAATGGGGTTGCCGCTTTTATTAACAACCTGCAACTCAGGTCCCACCGTGTCGAGCATAACCTGAACAACACAAACAGTTCAACATTGCGATTACAATTAGCATAATAAATAATTTACAAAAAGAAATGAATAAAAAAGAAACGTACAGCACAGAGCTTCTTAGTGGTCTTGACAGCAGCCTTCAAGTTCTCCAAAGTCTGCTGGTGATACTCCGGATCACCCCATGAAAAATCAAACCTAGCCACTGGCCCCAATAATCTCAAATCCATCAGATCCATTTTAACGAAAAACAAACCCTAAATAATAATAATTTATAAAGAAAAACAAAGCAAGGCAAGTATTACCAGACATTCCAGCCTTGAGGCAGCCAGAAATAACCTCAACAGATCGAGATTTTGGACCTAGTGTGCCTACAATCTTTGTCATTGCTGGAAAGAAAGTCTGCAAAAAAAAAAAAAAAAAATCAATGCAGGCAAAAGCAATAATAAAACTACAGATAATGTCATGATTCATTCAACTAATAATAATAATATAAAAATAGGACGAAAAGGATGCTGCTTACAGATTTTGAAGGCTCCAGGATTGAAGCCATCCTTATAGGCTCCTCCAAAAGCAAGTGATTTGAATGCATCTTCTTTCCAAATGATTAATCACAACTCTCCTTAACCAAAACAGAGAGATTTCAGAGAAAGAAGAGTACTTCGACCAGATTTTGGCGTGAATCGACCGAAGGAAAGATCTGCGTGTTTTTTACGTTGATTGATTTTGATTTTTTCTTTTAAATAATAAAGCGTGGCGACTCTTGTGCTGTGCAATAAGAATATGCCTCTTCTGCTCTCCCAAGCAGTACTAAGAAACTGCGTTCTCTTCTCTTATTGAGTATTTATTTTTAACACAAACCTCAAATCAATCCCTCACCTTCCTATTTCTTTCATGTTGGTTCCCTATCTTTATACCTTTTCTTGATCGAATCCTTGTATTATGATCCTTGGAGGACGCTTTTAAATATTTGTATCAAATCAATAAAACGACTCATTTAACATGCTTTGAATTACTTTGATGTTTTTAACCAATCAAAATCAATCTTTTTATAACCAATAAAACGACTTATTTAACATTATATCTAATCAATAAAACTAAAAATATCTAACAATTATATGAAACATATTGTGAATTACTTTAATATTTTAATATGTTATGAATTATCAATATTCTTCATTTAAGCTAGTTATATATTTTTTTAACTAATCTTTAATTTTTCCATATACAAAAATACTCAATTTTTTCTTTTATTTAACATGATAAAAAATATGCATATTTAGATTATATAATTGCTTCATTAAAAATTTAGTTTATCTTAAATTTAAAGTAATAGGTAGTATTTTAGCATCTAAAACTTGGAAAACTAGGGTTTGTTTAGAAAACACATGACTGATGTGCACTGTTTGGTGCTGCCTCCAATTGTTTTGGAAGAATGATGTGATTGAGAAAATTGATATAAATGGGATTTAAGCGATAAACTTAGTAATTTGAGGACTTAATTGGTACTCTGTATATAGTTGGGGTATTGCTATGAAGTTTTGTTTTTTTTTAATTTATGTCTTTGAGAGAGACGCAAAACCTGGTTCCGTCTGCCAGAAAAAAACTGTTGGACCTATGCTGTTTTTCAGCTTTGGTTTCTAGAATTACACGTGTCACAAATGTACTGTTAGATCGCCCATAGCAATTATGTCGATGTGGTCACACATGAAGTCTCATGCGGCGACGGTCCACGGGACACCATTCGCAACCAAATTCTTTCTTGGAAGAGGGGAAACGGATGCCCACACCAGTAATTGGAGCGTGTCACGTACACTGGTCTTGAATGGTGGATAATCTGCGTGTTTTCACCAGCAAGTGGAGATTGTGATAGTTTTTATGATATTTTAGTAATTTAGAAAGTTTACTCGAGATTTGAGGGAGTTGAGCACGTTGGAACGCAAGCGAAAGAGAACCTACCTACCACCCAATAATCAAATCCACGGGCTGTCCTTTTCTAAGAAATACGGCCATTGAGAGCTGCAGCGGTTGAGCCGTTGTCCGGTCGAGGACAAATGGAGTCAAGACTATGCAAATAACTATTTTAAACATTTTTTTTTATAAATATACGTTTCAACTTTGTCGTACGAGGATACTTTATAACCAGTTTGTTGTTTGTGTTATTTTGTGGGCAGGATTGTGTGAAAAATAAATACAATGCACCATTAAATCATAATGTTTAATTATATTAAGGCATGTTCAACTACAATTAAATATTTTATCAGAAATTAAAATTGTGTGCATCTATTTTTTAGATACGGTATAAAAATTTAAACATATAAAAAAAACAACATGAATTTAAAGGGTCATTCGTTACATGATTACAAAAGTTTTCCATATATGTATGCAATAATAAGATTCCAAGTCAAGGCATTAGTCATTGACTTGAATGAGAGTTGTCATAATCCAATTTTGGCCCTCTATATTTACAAACTTTTCTTAAAAAATTAAAAATTAAATATTTTAGTCAATTTATCTTTTTTTTTGAAATTTTGGTCTTTTTACAAGTTTCATGAATATTATTGTTTTTTTAAGTTTCGAATAAAAATAATCGACCATGAAAATAAGTGAAGAAAAAAAATCAATGACTAAAAATCAAAAAGAAAATGAGTTGAAAGAAAAAAAGTTAAAGCACACAAGCTATCCTATTCTAGTTTAACCAAGCTTAATCGTTTTTTTTTATTATTATTATTATTTTAAACTAATCTAGCTTAGGAGTTAAGTAATCCATAACCAAACATTACTAATTCATCTTAAAGGGTTGAACCTATACAAAAAGATGTCTATGTTTATTAAATAACCTGGAAAAAAAAATTCAAGTTGGTATAAATAGGAGCAATAAATACTCCTATTTTCGGCATTTTTCCTTCTCCCTCTCTCACATATTTCTCTCCCAAAAACTCTCTTCATTTTCACCTCAATTCCTAAGCTAATTCATTGTTAAATTAGCTTAGAGGAAACATAAATTAGAGGATTCAAGTAGAGTTTAATTAGGTTGAAGCTTAGGAAGCTTGGAGAAACTAAGAAGAAATTAGAGAATCGAAGGACAAGTTCTTAAGGTAAGATTTTAATCTAATGATCTTTGAATTGTGAAGTTTATAAGTAGTTAATGATAATATTGATATGCAATTGCTTTGAGTTTATTGAATTGCTTGAGGAATTGATTATATTAAACTTAGGGTTTTGAGACCCATTTGGGAGAAAGTTTGATTAAATGATCCTATATGTTTAATTGATGTTTAAGTCTTGGACAAGTGAATTAAGGAATTAATTTGAAGTAGAATTGAATGAATTTAAGAAATTGAGAGGTTAAAGATGATGAATAGTGACAAATTCGAAAATTGAGAAAAATGAGGAATTAAGCTATATATATGCAATTCAAGATTAAGAAATGAGTATTTGTTGGATTAGAATGCAATGGATCATTTGAATTGAAAATTCATGATTAAATTAAGAGAATTGGTGATGATGAGATTTAGTGAGCTATGGATTATAATCAATTGAAGGATTATAAGATTTAGTTAGATTTTCGAATCGAGTCTTTCCAATTAATTTTGTTTTTATTTGATAATCTTGTATTTTAATTTTAGAACAATCCATTGCTGGGATTATTCCTTATTATGTGATATTGATAGATGATCCATTATTTTATGATGATAGATTCTTTGAAGCGGATGACTCTATCATAATCTTGATTTTGTTTGGTTCTTTAAATTATACGGTGAGTGAATATTATATTATGTATTGTGTTTTTGAGTTTTTTATTTTACCATTCACGCATCATTGTTTATGAATGATTTATAAGCAATTCTATCGGAACCTAGATGGGAACGGACATTATAAATTTTGAAATGTTTTTGTATCACAATGATTTGTTATGAATTGAAATGAGATTGAATGTGTAAATGGATTTGATATGTGTTTTTTGATTTAAACATGAATATGTTATATCTATTATTTTTAAGTATCCATATAATTTCGAAATGCATGCATGGTATTTGAAAAATCGATTTGAAAATGTGTAAATATGTTTGGTTTCGAAAATGTTTTTGATACCTTAGGAAACCGAACTACCGGAGGGTAGCCTTTGAGCTCGATGATATGAGGCTCCATCTAGTAAGAGAGGTGTAGTGCTAGACCATATGTCGGCCAATATACGAAAACCTAGTCACGGTGTAACGTCTCCGCCCCGATCATATTTCTACTACTCGAGTAGAGTGCCGGTTACATCGACATACCCTAAACTCTAAGTAGTTTTCTTATGATATTCTTAGGACTTTAACGAGTACATTACGTATATAACTCCTTAAGATAAAATTTACATAACATAATTAAATACATTAATAAAACATTACGGGCGATATTCAATTTCTCACGAACTTCATACCCCAAATTTACAAACAAAATAAAAAATAATATATGGTGCCTCACATGAGCCGAGTTAGGAGGACCCAGTCGCATCCGTACCAACTTGTCATTTTTACGTCAAGACATAAAAAATAACAACGAGGTGAGCCGAAGCTCGGTAAGCGGGGTGATGCACGTGATATGCAATGTTGTTTTGACTTCCCACCATACTCATAAATTTTAATCTCGAGTACCACAGGTATTAGCCGATCTACTCATTTATCATCCGGGTGGTCCGCGGATCACCTTCTACTATAACGGAATTATCCCTCGTTGTAACTACTATTAGCGAAAATCTATCATCTAATAGTGCGGGCACACGACCTAGAAGTCTTGGACTACTAATACCCATTTATTCCAGTTAGGTTATCAAACCTAGATGTATAAATCATTTCTTAATAAATTGACTTGTCTTAAACCACCCACTATGCACATGATGCACGTGATGACATATTTAATCACATTCAATCAAATTCGGCTACCAACCCTTCATTCTCATGCCATACTCACGGTCCAACCCACACTCGGAATTTATCCATTGCTCACATACCAATCATGATATCCACAACGAGAACACAATCTCCGCTCATTAATACTGTTCATTAGTTTCATTAATATTTAAAAGAAGGTCCAAGTCCATTTACTTTAATCCGAGCCCATTAACTTTATCCTAGGTCCATTGACTCTATTTAATTTCATTTTATTTAGTCCAAGCTCATTTAGTTTATTCCAAACCTATTAATTTTGTCCAAGTCTAATTTTTTTTGGTTTTAGGGTTTATTACCGAGCAACTCCTAATCGAGTAAATAATTTTCCAATTTCAGAATATAATTAAATCTTACCCATTTTATTTTGGATACTAGACATATTTATTTATAACATATCCAAAAATTAGGTCTAAATACCAAGTACATAATTAATTAAAAAATTTTGAAACTTAGGGAGCAATCTGCCTAATAGTAGTTTGTCTAGAGCTATCCATACTAAATTGGGTATAACTCTTTGTACACGAATCCAATGACCAAGAAATGTTAAAGGGAGTTAGTTGAAACATAGATGAACAACTTTTATTCTTTAAGTTTTACCCAGAAAGTGACCTAAAATCCTTGAACATGCACCCCAAAATTCGGACAGAATTTACTCCTT